AACATGTCCAGATTCGTGCAAGCTCAAAAAGGCAAGGGTTTTTCAAGTTTGGCAAGTTTTAAAGGTGTTTTATATCCTTGTTTAAACCATGGCTTTCATGGCCTTGACTCCATTCCATATTGGTTAGCTCAAGTCATTCCTCTCTCTCCATCATCTTATGATCATGTTTGGATATCAAAAGTTAGGCCCACTAGTTTAAAGTCTCAAGTTTGCTCATTTTGCATTTCATGAATTTCCTCAAAATTTCCCAACTTGTGCAACTCATAACTTGCTCCATTTCATCTTTTGAAGGTGATCTTGGACTTTTTGAAAGATGTCCTCTAAACTTTCTCTTTTGATCATTTTTGCCATTAGAGATAATATCTTGATGTAAGTTGCCTTGACACAAAGTTGTCTTTTGTTGACTTTTGAAAATGACCTATAATGTATTAGCTCATATCTTTCGAATGGAGTCTTTTTGGACTTGAGCATAAAAACAAAGTTGTAGAGAATTGAATTTTCTTCAAAATGGGCTTTGGTTGGTGAAAAGTTGATGAAGCATGTGAAATTTATCTTTGGTCAAAGTTCAGTTGACTTCTCCTAAGGAAACCCTAATTTGACAATTCTTGACTTTTGATGATTTGGGATCTTTCCTTGGGGAATCATGATCAACCCTTGATCAAATGATGAATATCATTTCAAAATGTTAATGTTGACCAAAAATCTTGAAGTTTGACTCTATGTTGACCATAGTTGACTTTTTGCTTAATATAGTTGACTTTCAATCATCTGAGCCACTGACTGAGCAAACTTGTGATGTAGGACTTGAAACTTGACATGAACCTTGTTGGGGACCTATGATGAACAATGGTAACCACTTGAGACCTTTTCAACCTAAATTTCCTTGAGAAACTCAAAACCCTAGTTGTAGACCTTCGGCTTAGGAGGAGCATTGATTGGTCAACCCTTGAGTATCTTGAGTATTTGAGAACCTTTGAAAGCATGTCTTGAGAAAAATGGGAGGGAAAATTTTGGGGTACAACACTCTTGCTCCAACAATGCTCAAATATCTATAAAACGAATAAAAAACTATCAAACAGTACACTATGTACAAAAAACGCACTATACACAAACTAAACGAATTTACGAATAAAAAGCAGGTTTATTCAACCAATATTAACAACAAAGAGTCGATAAGTGCAACAAAAAGTATATACAAAATAAATACAATTTTGTACTTATCATGTGTTCGAGGGGAATGTGTGCCTGCTCGATTATTATGTTCGCAGGGAACATATGCCTGCTCGACTTTCGTGTTCACGAAAATGGTTTGTTTATGCGCTCCGCTCGTCGGGGAGGCTGGTGAGGTCATTTCTAATGCGATGTCGAGCATTATTGGCAGTCACTGTCTCCTTTCACTGGATGTACGTTTGGGTTTTAAGGAGGAGGACGTCTAGTGTTGCAAGGGTTTCTATGCCTGCCTTGGCAAAGTCACTGCGAGAGCGAAATTCTCATTTGAGGAGATATTTCTTCATCTCGTCAGTTGTGGAGACTTGGAAGACTTCTTTGTTGAACCTTTCTATGTATGATCAAATAGATTCTTCTTTTCCTTGTATGATCACTTCTAGCGAGGCCCTTGTCTTTGAATAACGGCGAGAGGCAATGAAGTGCCTTGAGAACATCTTCCCTAACTACTTCGATGAGGTGATAAATTCGTTGGGGAGGCTTTTATACCAAGACATTGCCTCTTTTTCTCATAGTTGTTGGAAATAATTTGCACTTGATGGCATCCCTAACGCCTCAGTAGTCGAGCATGGCGTCAATGTTTTCGATGTGCTCATCGGGGTCAGTTTTCCCATCATACGTTCCCAAGTTTGAGGGTTTTTCTAGTCTGACGGGGAGGAGAGAATCCATAATAGCCCGAGACAATTGATCGCTGGGTATTCCTTGTCGCTCCAGCCCAGTGATGGTGGTGGAGAACATTTGTGCTTCCTTCGTCGGGAACAATTGTCTCGTCAAGGAGATGGGCTTCTCGATCTGCCCCTCAGTTTCTTGGCCACCGGTGAGAGGTGGTCTCTCCGAGGAGGGGTGTGATCATGTTTCTTGATGGCAAAAATACATGCTATTTCTTGCTCCCGACGGTGAACATGTTGTCAAGGAGACAAGTTGTGTGATCTTTGTAGTTGGTGCCTCCGCGGGGGAGACTTTGACCAGCGAGCATTTTCCAACGCCTCAATCCACTCGTTTTGTTGGCGGATTAGGGAGTTGGTCTAGTTGAGAGTTGCGAGCAGAGAAGCCATAGCAGGGTCATAGTTGGGTGGAGCAAGGATTGCCTATGTATTCTCCGGTGCTCCTTCTTGAGTCTTCTTGATCTTGTGAGATTCGACATCGACGTCTTCATCCTCTTCAAAGGATGGGGAGGCAGTGTGATCCCTAAATGGGATGTCATCTTCAAGAAATGGCATCCCACCACAGTTATATATCTTACGAACATGGGAAATAATGGGTTTGTAAGCATTGTCGTTGTCGTCAAAGTTGGCCATGACTGGAATCTTGATTATGTGCTTTGATCTTTGGTTTCCAAGAAAAGAAAGATGGGGAGAACAAGTTTCCCACAAACGGCACCGCTAATCTTACTTGTTGATCAGAACCTGAATTGGCCAGATACTTCGACTTCAATGCGGGAATGGAGGAGGATATGGGTGTACTTGCAAGGCATCCGATGCTAAAGTCAGTAGGAGCACAAAGAGATACTAGAAATAGATTAGGGTTTTTAGAATGAATATTGGATACATGATCCTCACAAGTTTGAGGGTTTATATAGTGTCCCAGGCGCTTGGCCATTGGTTCCTATTTTTGGACCTATATATTAGGTTCCTCAAAAATAGATAACTGCCAGGAATTGGTCATGATGGACAAAGATGCTTGGAACTAGCCTTTATGACGAGCAGAGAGGTTCTCACGTGCAAAGATGATTCTGGCCATTTCTTGGTGGTTGGCAGGATGAAGACTAGCCTATTTGAGCGGGCATATGTGATCTTGTTTATCCTGGGGCTCAACCGACCATGACTCTTCGACTGAGAGGTAGAGGTGTGGTCACGGGAAACGTGTTATGGTAGTTCCTGGATGACTTCTTCGTGCGTGGCGAGCAGAATGAGAAGTAGTTGCTGACGCGGGCAAAGGTGCAACTGAGGGCAGCGGTGGTCTTGTTGGTCCTGGGGGACGACCGACCACGTGTTCCTGGTTGAGGGGCAGAAGGGAAAATATGTCTTTTACCTGTCCTAATTGATTGAGCCAAAGCTATTGGACCATCTTAGATGTAGAAGTGGATTGGGTCATGCCTAAACATTGGACCAGACCAGAACATCAGACATGAAGGGAAGGTAAAGAAGAATCCAGACATTGAATATAAACTCAAAGATCCAGGAGAGTTCCAACCTGTCACTAAAGAATGGAAAAGAGAAACAACACCAGACATACATGATTACTATAAAATGCTTCTCAAATTCTAGTGACAAAAGACATAAGAGAGTCCTCAAAAGATCAAGTAAAAGAAAATACACGAGAGGTGGAGGGGGAGCCTCTTAAACCTAATGAATAGAATTGTAACATGAAATGTTTGGGAGATCAACAAACATAATAAATAGGATGCGGTAAAGAACCTCATCAATAACAATATGGTTGATCTCTTTGAAACTAGAGTTATTCCTCGGAACATAAGAACCTTATATAGTAATGTGTTTCCTATTTAGAAGAGATTCTTTATTCAAATATTTTTAAATAATAATAATAATAATGAAGATTAATTATTATATTTTGTTAATATAAAATTCTTTACACAGTCAATACATCACAACCATTCATAAATATTATTTTATAAATAATTAAAATTAAAATTAAAATTCAATAAATATTTAACAACCGCAATTCGCTAACAAAGAAAAATTATTTCATACTATCAATACATATCAATTAAATTCTTAATAATAGTAACAATTATTTTTTAAATCATACAAAAACATACCTTTTAAATAGTAGTAAATTTATATGGAAATATCCTAATAGTTTACTTATTTAAAAAGAGAATGTATATTTCATTTGGTTTGAATTTCATTTTTCTAGTTCTGGCTGGCTCCCCCACCTTCGCGGCAATTTCCTCTTCTTTTCTCCAATTCACAAATAAACTAAATAAAAACAAAAAAAAAAATTTTAAAATACCAAATCTTTATATTAAAAAATTTCTTTTTTGTTTTGAATTTTTCTTCTTGTTGTCTCTATTAGTAGTGTTATTTTTTCTTTTCCATTTTTTTTACCAGAAACCAAAGAGAAAAAAAAAAAAAAACACAAAACAGAGCAAAAGAGAGCGAAATGAAATGATTGAGAAGAGATCCAATAATAATATAAAGAAACCATTTCGAAACGCATCGTTTCGCATCGGAATCTCATCAGCCTCATCTACCCGGACGATTCTCCGGTCACCGTCGCCGACTCTTCTCCGGTCGGCTTAACAACTGTCTTCTGATTCTGATTTCCTTCGATCGGTTGGAAACATAGATCTAGGAGCTTCCAGATCTGAGAATTTTTTGAGCCAAAACGATGCCGTCTCACGCGGATCTGGATCGGCAGATCGAGCATCTGATGGAGTGCAAGCCTCTACCGGAGGCGGATGTGAAGGCGCTTTGCGATCAGGCGAGGGCGATTCTTGTGGAAGAGTGGAACGTTCAACCGGTGAAGTGTCCCGTTACGGTTTGTGGTGATATTCACGGTCAGTTTTATGATCTGATTGAGCTTTTTCGGATAGGAGGAAACGCGCCTGATACTAATTATCTCTTTATGGGAGATTATGTAGGTTAGTTTCTCTTGTTTATATTTTTTTTTAAAAATTTAATTATTGATTTTATGAGCTGAGTTTGATGTGTAAGTATATACGGTTTTATTTTTGGTTTTGTTAATATTTTGTTCTTGAGATCAATTATTGGTTGGTGTGTTGTAATTTGAGTTTATTTTATTGGTTTTTGATGATTATGATGCGTTGGATTCGATGTTCGAATATTGTTAATTTTTATTTTTTAATTTCCGTTTTTGGAAAGCATTTTGTTTATGATGTTTCTGAAAAAAATGGAAACTACTTGTTTTAGCCAATTATATTTGTTACAAATTGGCGTGATTGTTTCAAATGGCCGTGTTTGCTGTGTAACTATTGATATGGTTTCAGCTAGTTAGGATCAATATCAAGGCTATTTCGCCATAATGCTTAGTTAGTTTTATAGGGGAGTTGCATTAGTTTGTTTTATGCTTGCATGAAAAATCTTGACCAAATCTTTGTCTCGGCGCCATGTTTTATTATAACTTATAGCATTGATATAACTGTTAATCTATATTTGCCTCACTTTTTCAGCTCCTTGTTTTAGTTATGTGCCATTTGTTTAAAGGAGTATTGTTAGGTGAAACTTGCCTTTTTGCTTTTCGTGGCATCCTCCTTCTTTTCTGCAGGAATGATTGTTATTGGAATTGGAATTGGAAATGCAAATCATGTTATGGGAGTGTGGTTACTATCACGCCTCGGGAGTTAGGGTGGTGAAGGTGTGCAACACAATTAAGAAATGTGGAGATATACATGCGAGCTAAAAAAATAGAATAAACGTATACAATCTTACTGTCACACCATAGGGAGTTAGGGTGGTGCAGTTGTGCAACACAATTAAGAAATGTAGAGATATAAGTGTGAGCTAAAAAATCAAATAAATGTATACAATCTTGCTAGTTGTGATTTTCATAAATTTTTAAGCTTGTGCTTTATAAGAGTGATGAGTGATAACAGAAGGGAAACACCGTTCATTGAACCTGTTGATGGACAATAAACTTGAGGGTGTGTTTGGTTCGAAGTAAATAGAGAGAAAGGGAGGAAATATTTATAATGAAATGTGTTTGGTTCAATTTTTAGGAGAGGAGAGGAGGGGAGCAAAATCCCTCCAAATCACACTTTTTGTATCCCCAAATCGGGGGGATTCGGAGAGGAGGGGAGGGGAGAGAAGGTGAGTATAAATTTTTAATAAATTAATATTTACTAAAATATCCTAAGTTTTATTTTATTATTTCAAAATTATTATTTTTCGTATTCCTCCTTATTTTTTTGTGATTTTTCTCTATTGCTTCCATCGACTTATTATAATTATTCTTCACCTTCAATTTTTATTTTTGATTTAATATAAATTATAATCATTGTATTTTTTTTTTTTAGTTATTTTTATTTTATGGTTATTTGTGTTAGTTTATTTTTTAATTTTGTTATGTATTTTATTATATTTTCTTTATAAAATTTTAAACCACTCTTTTTTTGTTGTTGTTTATTTTGTAATATATATTTAATATTTAATAATAAGTTATCTTATGTATTCAAAAGTTGTTATCAACACATAGTTTATTTTGTACCGAGAGTTATAATATGAATCAAGTATAGTCAATTTTTTAACGTTATGTGATAAACTATGACTTTTTAATCACTCAATATTATAAATATTATTTCCAGAAAAATATTTATGAAATTTTCATCTATGAATATCACATCACTTATATAAAATCATAAGGATAAAAATGTAAATTATTAATAAAGTTCTTCCCCTCCCCTTGTGAACAAAATATATTTTTAATCAAAATCCCTCACCTCCCCTCTTTTGAACCAAACATATATAATTAAAAAAATCTCTCCCCTTCCCCCTCCATTAAAATCCCTCCCCTCCCCCTCATTTGAACCAAGTAGACCATAAAACTTCTATGAGAGAACTTTATAAATGTCAGTGTGAATCGAAGTTCCCTATTATCAATTGTCATTGTGTCTATACTTTGACGAAATTTGTGCTGATAGCGTTAAAAAGATTTAAGTGATTGCTCTGTCTGTATTGAGGTATACAAAATTAGTGTTATTATAATTTGTTGTTTTGAAGGAAGGTTATGAAATTTAACAACTTCAATATCTTAGGATGTTACAACTTTGGCCATATCCATCCTTTTATTGGCATACTCCTTTTATTTATTTTCTGATTAGAATCTTTGCATCTGTGGGAACCACTACAATCGTGTAATAATGTTGACTAAATTTATGCAGATCGTGGGTACTATTCAGTGGAGACTGTTTCACTTTTGGTGGCACTGAAAGTACGTTATAGAGATAGGATTACAATTCTCAGGGGAAATCATGAGAGTCGTCAAATTACTCAAGTGTAAGAACACTTTCTTCTCGAATTATTCATTGTTGTCTGTTTATGTAAAAATTATAATGTTTGAGCTGAAGTTTCATGACAATACCTGCTTGAAGTTTAAGAATAGGTTAGTGATGACTGATGAGCATCTCCAATTTCTCTATTCATTGGGTCGGTGTCATAGAACTTTGCCCATTATTTACTTCATCTATCTCATTGTAAAATTCAGTGGGGGTTAGGTTAGGAGCCGCAACTTGATTATTTGTAATCATATTATGACATTCTTATTTTTCTATATCTTTCTCACTATTCTAAGTGATGTTGTGGATTGAGTTTTAGTCTTTTTTTTCCCTTTAGTGAAAGAGTTCTTAAGTTTGTGGTGACTATACTCCAATGCCACCAGGGGGTGCATAAGTTAAACATTACATCTAGGTTGTGATGTGTATGAGTGAATGTGCTATTGTGTAGATGTAGATGTGAATGATGTGATTTATGTTTGTGAAAACCAATTTATTGGTTTGGAATTTATTGGCTTGGGAGGATATAAATTTGAAAAAGATAAAAACTTAATCTTTGAACATAAGAAACATGAAAGGAGTTTTTTTATTTTAAAAGTTGTTTCTTTGTTTTCTTACAATTTCAGCCATATCCTTCACTTGCTTTCAGGTATGGCTTCTACGATGAATGCTTGAGAAAGTATGGAAATGCAAATGTCTGGAAATTCTTTACCGACTTGTTTGATTATTTACCTCTGACCGCCCTTATTGAGAGTCAGGTTTGAGCTTAAACATGTTTAAAAATGTTTCTCTAACTTCTTTAAACGAGTGTCTAACATCCGTTTTCATTGTAGATTTTCTGTTTGCATGGAGGTCTCTCGCCATCTTTGGATACACTGGATAATATCCGCGCCTTGGATCGCATACAGGAGGTTTGTGTGTTACTAAATGGATATTGTAACTGGCAAGATCTTACAATTTAAGAACATTTTATGCAAAGCATTCTCGAGTTAATGATATCCCCCTCTCCCCCCTAAAGTATGGTATGAGAAGTAATATATAATGGATAGTTTAAATGGGAAGATCTTAAAATTATAATTATTTTGATACTAGTATCATTTTATGCAAAACTTGCTCGAGTTAAAGATATCCCCCTAAAGCATGGTATGAAAACTCTGCATTTTTCTTTCTTTTTGATGGATTAAACTATTAAGTATTTGTTTCAGTCTTGCTAGTTAATCTAGTGCTCTTTGGATGTCTCATCTTTCGGTCAACTAGAATTTCATTTCTGTATGTCCAAAACCATGGTGTAGAGGTTTACTGGATATCTTGCTTGACAAGTGAAAACTGTGCTTGTGCAATATAGGTTCCGCATGAAGGACCGATGTGCGATCTCTTGTGGTCTGATCCTGATGATCGTTGTGGTTGGGGAATATCTCCACGAGGTGCTGGATATACATTTGGACAGGATATAGCTGCCCAGTTCAATCATACAAATGGTCTCTCACTGATATCTAGAGCTCATCAGCTCGTGATGGAAGGATACAATTGGTGCCAGGTGACTGACCTGATATTTTTATTTACTCTTTTGGTCATTCGAAGGATACGTCCTATCATTCGAAGGATACAAATGTATTGACTGTTCTATTGGTTACTGTTTTAGGAGAAGAATGTGGTGACTGTTTTTAGTGCTCCAAATTACTGCTACCGATGTGGGAATATGGCTGCGATTCTGGAAATTGGGGAGAATATGGATCAGAATTTTCTGCAGTTTGATCCAGCTCCGAGGCAAATTGAGCCTGACACTACACGAAAGACACCAGATTATTTTTTGTAACTTCATATATGTCTCTGTATGTAGTTACTTCTTTATGCTGTTACTGTAGATTTGTCTTTAAGAAAAAGAGGGTTATCATCAACAACATAATTCTTTCTTTTTAGAGTTTGTCTGCTGCTGCTGCTGTCGTCTTATTTGGACAAGAAACCAATAGAATTGACACAATTGTTATTGTATATTTTTGATAGGAGGAAGCGGCAATAACATGGTATATCTTGTGCTGTAATTTTTTGTTTTTGTTTTTAATTAAATCTCAAGTTAGAGAGCAGATTTTTGAGTTGTGACAATCGTGTTTAGATTGTGAATGGTGACAAATGCAGGTTTTAATTTATTTAGTTGAGTGATATTATGATTATGAGTAGGGTTGGTGGAACTGGAAACTTGTGACTCCTGGGATAGAGAATTACGGTTGTTTTTTATATATAAAAAAGATGAATAGTTGTGTTGTTGAAATTAATACTCTTTCTGTCTCATAA